TCCTGAGTTTGATTCCCAGTACAAGAAAGAAAGAAAGAAAGAAAGAAAGAAAGAAAGAAAGAAAGAAAGAAAGAAAGAAAGAAAGAAAGAGGAAAATGTTTATTGAGAGAAAGATTCTGTCTAAAGAAGGGAGTCCTGAGTAGGTGGCCACAAACCCACTTTTCAAGGGAATTTTATAGCATAAAATCACAAGGGGAGGGGAGTGTAAGGTGGGACAAAGCTATAGTCTACCAATAAGAATATGAATATAGTCACTTAGGTAATATTGATTAGATGGGGAATCCAAAGAGGAAGCAAGTCCTTTTGGGACAATTGTCTTGCTTACTTTTCTCTGGTGGCTAAGACAAAAGACCTGACACCCAGAATTAAGGAAGGAAAAGTTTACTTAGCTCACAGTTTGTGGAGATTTCAGTCCAGACTCAGCTGGCTCCAAGGCAGGGTGGCACATGGCAGTTCAAGATGGCAGAAGACAACAAAGCAACAAGAGCAGGAGGGAGAAGCAAGCCTCTTTTCCTCCTTTATATTGTGTGCAGGCTGCAGGTCCCCACTCTTGCACAGGTCAGGATAATTACAAAATAAGGACCCTGCACCCCTGCTGAGTTACTTAGTTAACCTGAACTGTTCAAGTTGACACAATGAGTCAATTATAATACCCAGCAAGGACTTTCTTGGAAGGGATAGGTTAGGGAGGTTATGGTCCCCTATCCAAGGTGATTGATGCCTACATGGAATAGCAGTCTGCTGTACATCCCTAAGGGAAGTATTTGGGTGTAGTAGGTCCTCTCTGACCTGAGAGACCTGACCTTCAGTGAATGCACCCCGCCCACAGTTGTCTTCTGCACTGAAATCTCAAGACCCCAGCCTTGTCTGACTGCCTATAGTAGATCTAACTGACTTAGCTATCTATAACAGCAGGATTAGCTTTACCCTGGAGGGCTCCAAGTCACTGGTCACTGGGCAGAAATACATTGGGGAATTTTTTTTCTTCACAAAGATCCAGCTGTTGGAGCTATAAATTTTTGTAATATTTTAAGTTCCTTTTAATTTTGAAAATTAATATATTTTGAAAAGAGGAAGCCCCTGAGTCCTTTGTCTCTTTGACTCTTACTCTTTGGCATTGGAACTTTCCGTACTTGCTCCACTGTAAAAGGTTTTCAGAATGAAATCTCAGTTTTTTATTGACTAAAAACTAAAATCAATAATTTTTTAAAAGTGCTTTATTGAGCTACAGTACAATTCAGTGAGAGAATGCTTGTTTGGCATGTACAAGGCCCTGGGTTTGATCCCTAGCACAACAAAAAATAAAGTACTAAAATAAGAGTTTAAATTTATGTAATGATTATGCAACTTAAGGAAAGCTATCCCACCAAGAGCTTTACCACCAACATGGGGTGAATCTCCTAGGACACAGGGCCTGTAGGTGCTGAGGTTGGTGATTAGAGACTCCAGGAAGACTTTCTGGTGACTCTGTACCTCAGCCAATTGCAGAGCCCTGGCCAGGCCCTCCCATTCCCCGGTTACCCCTGGCAGCACACAATACCCATTTTGCAGAAAAGTGCTGATATCCCGGGCTTGCCTGCCACCCTGGATTCATCCTACCTCTTCTCTCATCCAACAGAGACCCCCAAGAGTCCCACATACTCCTAGATTCAAACCGAGATCCAGGGCAACTGTGGCTTTTGCCAGGTCCCAGGTTCTGTGCCTCATTCCTGCCTCCTTGGACAGCAGCCCACACCTTCCTTCCAGCTTCCTCTGCTCCTACCAGGGTGGAAATGACACAGGCTTGTCAGGCTGGAGGATAGTGGTTCAAGATGGCACTGCCAGGGCACAGGATCAAGGAGGCCTCTCTGGAAGAGGAGGTTAAAGCACTATAGATAGCTAAGTTATTTAGAAATATTATAGGCAGTCAGGCAGAACCAGGTCCTTGAGAGGTCAGTGCAGAAGACAGCTGTGGTGGAGATGCATTTGTTGAAGGTCAGGCCTCCTCTAGGGATGAACAGCAGCATTGCTATTCTAAATAAGCACCAATCAATCACCTTGGGATGGAGGACCAAACATCCTTAACCCACTCCTTCCAAGAAAGTCCTTGTCAATCCCTGTGTGCATGCTGTGTGATTTGCTTCCCCACTGGATCCTCATTTAATCAATATTACCCAAGTCACTATACTTTTAATCTTATTGGTTCACCATAGTCTTGTCCCACCTCACACCCATCCTAAGATTTCATATTAGATCAATGTTATCTAAGTGACTATACTTGTCATCTTATTCCTTGATTATAGTTCTGTCCCACGTTAGACCTGCCTCACCTCGTGATCCTGTGCTATAAAACTCACTTGGGAAGCAGACCACCCACTTGGTCCCATTCTGTCCCTCTTAGAAGTTTTTCTTTCTCTCAATAAATACTTACTTCTCTTAACCTCCATTGTTCTTGAATTCATTTTTCAGTTTTAGAGATAAAGAACTCACCATATCCCACCAGACCTCTAGCAAGTTGGGACTTCTATTTCCCTTATATTATTTGGAGGTTTTGTATCATACACCTTATATTAAAAGCCTGGAGGGGACACATAGCCTAGGCACTGCTCCCATGAGGCTGGACATAGGATAGTACAAGGATCTGAACCTTTCACTCCAACCTGCACCTGATGTCACAGCCTATAATCTCTTACTAACCCTGGTAGATGCCACTATTCAGGTCGGAACTTTAAGGCTCAGAGCAAAGGCACCAATCCTGCCCAGAGGGCCATGAGTCCCATCAGTCAGCACCTCCTCCCTGAAGCAGCAGTCTACTGTCATTGGTGTGACAGGATCTTTCCCTCGGTGGGCCTCAGGTTCCCTGCCTGCATGTGGTTTGAGTGAATAGGCCACAGCAGAAGTCCCAGGAAAGCCAGACAGACAGCATGGACTGGGGCACAAATAGGCCTTCCCACTGCTTATGAACATGGCTTTGGTGGCAAGGGGATGTTGAGGTACCACGAGGTGTGCAGCTTCCTGTAAAATATGACATGGATCCTTGGGCCAGCCCTGCTGTCCTGACAAGCCAGAGAGGGGCCCAGCATCCCACACCTGAGCAGTCAGGCATGCAAATGAAGCCACAGTCACTCAGGTGAACATGCTCTGTTCCCCTGAGACCACTTGTCAGAGACTGAACTGCACATTTTGAAGTCCTAACCTTTAGAACCTGTGACTGTGACTTTATTTGAGAATAGTTTTCTAAGATGTAATCAAGTTAGGATAAGGTCCTAACTTAGGGTAGGTAGACCCTACCCTAATCCAAAATAACTGGTATCCAGGGCCAGCAAGATAGCTCAACAGACTGAGTGCCTGCTTAGGTGAGCACAGGGACTGGGGTTCACTCCCCAGTACCACGTGCTGCGCTGGTCCCAATTCTGGGCATGCTGAGCTGGCCACTGAGACTCAGAGTGGTGGAGCATGCCTGTAATCCCAGTGCTGGGGAGGCTGAAAACAGGAAGATCACTATGAGTCTGAGTTGCATAATGAAACCCTGTACCAAATACCAAATACCAAACACACACACACACACACACACACACACACACACACACACACAAATTGGTATCCTTTAAGAGGAAAAGAAGCCCAGAGAAGCATGCAAACAAAGAGTGCTGTGGGAAGACTAGAGCGGACAGGGAAAGATGCTCCCTTGAAGCTTTGAAGAAATGCAGCCTTTCCCATACCCTGGTCTCACGCTGTAATTCTTTGTTAGGTCCTTGATGGTCCTTCTGGAGACCTGACCCAAGAAGTGATGGTGTTGGAGCCCGGTGTCCCAGAGCACACCTGTAATCCCAGCACCTGGGAGCCTGAGACAGGAGGATCACCACAAGCTTGAAGCAAGCATGGGTTACAGAGTTGAGTTAACATCCAGGCTGAACTGCTTAGTGAGACCTTGTCTTGGGGGGCGGGGGGGGGGGAGACCAAACAAAACGGTGGTACTAAAAGTCAAAGCTCCAGGGGGCCGGGAAAATGGCTCAGTAGAATAAGCGCAAGGGCATGAGTTCAATCCCCGATTCTGCGAAAATAAAAAGAAAGAAAGAGAAAAAGAAAAGAAAGTCAAAGCTCCATCTCCTTGGATTTAATAATCCAAGGGGTGCCCCCAGACCTCCTCTCCCAGCCCCACTGCTGGGCCTCTAGAAGGCGATCCTCCTAATGCATGGGCGAGGAAAGTCAGGGAGGGGGCTGCGCAAACCCAAGTGGTGGGCTCAGGGCCATTTGGCAGGGAAATCTGGGGTCCCAGCATGCGGTCTGGAGTGTATGCGGTCTGGAGTGTGATCTGGGGTTACCTGCGGATGACCCTGTTCTTTCCGATGTGGCAGGGTCAAAACAAACCCGGATGGGGAGGGGGTGTGTTCGTGTGTGGTAGGAACCCGCGACTCTGCGGCTTAGAGAGCACAGGCCAGGCGGACGCCTGCCTTGCTGGGACTCTGCTCCATGGTCCATCACAGCTTCACACTCCTCAGCGCTGGCTGTGCGCTGCCAGCCAGGCCTTCTCCTTCGGTTCCTTTGGCCGCCACCTCCTCCAACCACCCAGAAACTCCGGCTGTCCCTGGAGCTGGCAAGCACACTCCCACCTCAGGACTCTGGGATTCCCCAGCGGGACCACAGCTCTGGCATGACCTCTGCTCTAACCTCCCCTGCTCCATAGGAAGGGGTGGACCACAGCTCTGGTCCCAGTGGGGCCACGCGCAGGCTGCTTGCAGGTGAACCTGGGCAGGAGGGGTCAGCCAAAAGGGGAGGGCCCCGGGGCTGTGTGTAGCCCAAGAGTTTAAATCATGCTTTCAACAGCAGGGACCGCTCGGGGTAGCCACGCTCCTGAGGGGCGGGGTCTACATAAACCACCTTGGTGGGGAGAGGAAATCAGAGGGACTGGAGGCCATCGCCAAAGGCCCGCCCCGCTCCGAGAGATAGGCGGGATCGGTGCCCAGCCGGCGCCCTTGGGCGGGGCCAGAGCGTCACGCCCCCTTCGGGCCACGCCCATCTCGGCTGGCCGGGCTCTAGGCTGAGCGCAGGATGCACCCGGGGGCTGCAGCTCTCGGCCGCGGAGCGAGGCCCCGGGGCCGTGCCGGGAGCACCACGCCCTCCCCGGGGAACCTCACAGGTGAGGGCCGGGGTCGCAGGGCCAATAGGGGGTTCTACGCTTGTTTCACAGACCAGAAAGTCGAGGGACAAGGGCTAGGGGGCACCTTCCCCACCGACCGCCACCCCTGCGGGCGCCCCGTCGCACAGGTGCCGCGGTTCCCCAGGAAGTTGGGGCTGGCATCCCCTGGTGGGACCTGTAGTTCTAGGTGCGGCAAGGGCCAGCGGGGGCGCCCTCCCCGCACCAGAGTGCAGTGCCATCTTTGGGTTTCCCTAGTGAAGCCTTCTAGACCCACGTTACAGATGGCAAAACTGAGTGTGAAAGAGGAATGGTTGCGTGGTTGACGGGGTCTGGGGTTGACATCAGTGCTCAGAAGCTCTGAGATATCCGGAAGGAGGGCAGCTGGCTTTTAGTTTTAAGGGTGCGAGTTCAAGAATATGCTAAAGGAGTTTCACCTTGGCTGCCTTGGTTCTGGGGTTCAAACTCTGGCTTTGCTCCGTCAATGCACTGTCCAGCGCTTTTGGAAACGCCACCCAACCGGAACCCTACGTCTCCCGCATCCTGGAAGCGCACTCGGTGGCAAGGCCCCCGCGGAGGCTGGGCTTAGCGCTTAGCTCTCCTACTGGAGGAAGCTTAAGTCCTTGGAGGTGGGGTCTGGTTCCTGCTCAGTGAAGCAGAAGCTGAGAGTTCCCCCAGCCAGAGCATGTTTGGTTTGTTAGGTTTGATACCCCTACTCCCCTAACCAAATACCCAGAGCGCCTAGTTTGTCCGAGTCAGGAGTGCTTTGCTTCTGTGTTTGAGGAGTTCAGCTTTGGTCTGATGTCACCTAGGAACTGGGTACTCACACAAGGGAGCCCCTTCCCCATAGCCACTTGAGGAAGGGATGGAGGGACCTGCCAGGTCAGACTAAGGCCGAGCAGTGGCTGGAAACACTGACACTTTGCACACAAAGTGCCATTTGCTGCAGACTCCTTGTGTGTGGGGGGGAGGAGGGTCCTAAGATCTGCTCTCACTCTTCTCCCTTAGGGGACTCCTGGGTCTCAGCCTGCCTGAGCACTTCTCAGATGTGAAGTTTGGAGTTTAGGGTGACAATTTCCTTTCTGACCTGGAGTGATCACTCCACTGGTGCCTCAGTTTCCCCATTATAAGTGGTGAGCAGTGTATAGAGGCTCCCAGGCTGTGCACTAGCCAGGTGTACTCTAGAGAGGACCCTTGACTTGCCAGGGTAGCCAGCACCGCATCACTATCATCCCTGCTGTGCACCCTCATCTCTAATACGAAGTACTCAGTGCAGTAAGGGGCTAGGGCTTGGGGTCCTATAGCCGCAGCTTGGCATGATCCAATACATAGCACCCCATGGTGATGCATTTCTGGTGGTTGAATGGCTGCGCCCTGGCCCTGCTCCCAAGGCAGCCCCTGTACTCCCTAGTCTGGGAAGTTGTCCAGGAACACAGGGTTCCAGCATCAGGGCCCAACCTCTGGCCCTGCCCAGGAGGGACCTTGAAAAGCCTGGAAAGGGAGGCAGCAGGAGGCAGCTTCTGCTGGCCCTACCCCCGTAGCCACAGAGTGAGTGGGGCTGTGCCCACTGAACAGAGGAGAAACTGAGGCCCAGTGCAAGCCAGTGTGAGGCTTACCTACCGGTGGAAGACTGTCTGTGCCTCCCTTTGGTCAGGGTGCTAGCAGTGCTGTCAGATAAGAGGCATAGATCTCTGAAGCCCTAGTCCTCTCCCACCCCAGGGACTTGGGGAAACACTTTTCCTCTGTTGGATTTATCCCAGCCTGAGAAACTGACTTTGAAGCCTATGTCACTCCTCCCTGGAGAGTTGGGCACAGAGAGGGAAAGTGACTTACCTGAAGACACACAGCTACAGGGTCGAGCCTCCTACACTCAGTGTTGGGGCCACATGCTGTCCCCAGTGCTAGGGGTCCTGCTCTCAGAGCACCTGTGTGTGCCTAAGTCACCCCTCTGAACCCCGAGAAATCCCTCCTAAGGATTCCCAGGGTGCATTTGGAGAACCTGAGTCCCAAGGTGCTATCGCACAGGAGCAGAACTCGCAGCAGCCAAGTCCTGGTTGGGCTCAGAGGCCCGCCCAGCCCCTCCCAACCAGCCTCTGCCAGCATAAAAGGGAACTTATTTAAAAAGTCAGGATGCGGGGCCCTGTGGACTGCAGGAAGGACAGAAGTGGCTGGACTGTGGTCCAAGGTTCCAGATAAAAGATTAACAAGCAAGGATCTTTCCCAGACATGGGCTAGCATCATGAGCAGGGGGGAGAGATGAAGGATGGGGCCCCACCAGATCTAGTCGTGTGCCCAGCAGTGGCAGGTGGGCTAGCCAAAGGTGTCAGGTGGGGACAGAGCCCGAGGGACTCATGGGCCCTGCTGTGGATCTGTCCTCACCACCATGCTCTGATCCAGGAGCAGGTCAGGCTGGGCCTTGAGTTGATCTTTTGTTTCTTGCAGGCATTTAACCCAGTCTCTTCATTTCCCTGCTGCTCTTCTTCTCCTTGAAGCTCTATTTCTACATGGTAAAGAAGAAGGGTCATAAAGGTGTAAAAAAAAAAAAAAAAGCTGTAGATCTGGGCCCAGAAAGCAAGGGATCAGAGCACAAGACACAGTAAGGGGATGGGCGACATGCAGGGCCCAGTGTCCATGAGAGAACTGTGGGTAGGACAGAAAGACAAGCCAACACCTCCAGTGTGGCGCCACACCTCCTGGAGCCAAGTGTTTTCATAGGTACCTGGGGTCCTTCAAAGACACCAGGGAAGAGGTTGTCCCTGCAGTTGGGACACTTTAAGCAGGGAGGGACAGGAGAAATTTGACTTGGGCTGCAGGGGACAAATGGGAGGCCATGGGCATCTAGGCTAGGGGGGTCAATGAGGAGAGGCTCTGGGTCCCCAGGCTTTGAGGGGTCAGTAGGAAGTAGCCATTGGCCTTGAATCTGTAGGGGGTCAGTAAGGCCTCAGGCAGGTCTGTGGGCCTCAGCCTCCTTCATACAGAAAGTGAGCTGGGCCCAGGGATGGGTACAGAACTCCATGGACTGGGAAGTTGGGGCTTCGGGGATGGAGATACTCTGGGTTCTATGGACTGGAAAGATGGGGACCAAGGAGCAGAGTAGGTGCTATGGACTGGGGAAGGGAGCATGGGCAGCAAAGTTCTCTGGAATGCCACAGGATTGGTCCCAGCATGTCTTTGATGCTTGGGACGTGGCTGGAATGTCCCACCTGTGCAATGATCCCGTGTGCCGGCTCTAAGGTCTCCACAATTCACTCACTCCTCCTATGACTGGGGAGTAGGTCACTGTTGTGCAAGTAGGGAACCCCAAAGGAGGTAAGGAATCAGTGTCCTGGACATCAGGCCCTAAAATCCTAGGGTAGAGAGTGGCTGAGACGGCAGGAGCATTCCCAGCCTGAGTGTTGCTCCCTGTGGCTTCCAGCAAGTGACTTGGGCTCGCTGCATCTTGTGTAGCAGGTGGATTATAGGAAGCCACGTCCCCTGGCCTTCCTGGGTAGAAGGTGACCTGAAATACACAAGGGGGCAAGGCTGGTCTGGCCCTGGTCACGACTCATCCGTCCCCTGCGCACTGTGGCTCCTTCTTTAATGTGAAGATACATCCTAGGTTTCTGGTAGACCAGTGGGAGGATCCACTTTCTTTGTGTGTGGCTGTTGGCCTCAGCCTTCATCCTCCACATTAGTGAGGCTCAATGACAGGCAGGAAGTCTGCGCTTTAAGATACACGGCCGTCGGGTTTAGGAGGCAAACATCGTGCGGTATATCTCAGGCCTGCATTTGCTTCTAAGGACGAGCACCCCCAACCCAACACACACACACAGCAGAACCTGGCCGCAGAGCACAGGATGTGGCTGTTGACAGTGCAAGCCTGGTTGGGACGTCTCCCTGCCTGAGCCACTCTTACCCCTGGGTCCATGCTGCTCTAAGATGTGTTTGGGGAAGTTGATGATTGTGGTTTCGTTGCTGGGGCAGTAGTCATCTCACCCAGTCTTCATCCACTCTGCCTGGTGTGGCATTTGCAGGTGGGCATGCAGGCCCATGGCAGGAAGAGACCAGGTCTTGCTGGTAAGACCCGATAAGGCCTGGCCAACCCTTAACCCAGATCCTCTAACTTCAAAGCCAGGCCGGGCTGCCTTAGGGACACAGAGGTCTGGGCCCAGGATGAGGTTGGACAGCCACTCCCACTCACCAGGGGCCTCCTGGTCAGGAAGGGGGGAAGGGCTAGTTCCAGGGCACCCAGACTGCTTGGAAATTCCCCCAGCCTTGTTATTTCTTTCAATCACCCAGCAGAGGAGAAAAGATTTCATAACCACACCCCCAGTCCAGTTCCCTGTACTTTTACATTCACCCTGTCCCTGTGGGATCCTATATCCATCTGTCCTCTCTTGATGACATTCTAGTTTGGCTGGGTTTTTTTTTGTTTTGTTTTGTTTTGTTTTTTTGGGGTTTTTTTTGCGCGGTAGCGGGGATTGAACTCAGGACCCTGTGCTTGCCAGGCGAGTGCTTATTCTACTGAGCTATCTCCCTGGCCCTCTAGTTTGGCTTTTAAAGGATCAGTTCAAGTCTGTTAGTCCTGTCATGGGGCAGCCACATGCTGGACACATAGCTACAAGGGCTCCCAAGCCTCCCTGATGTAGCCCCTAACCTCTGGCCCCTGGTAGGCCAGGAAAGGTGGGTCCCTTGTCCAGCACAGCTGTAGAAGATTGCAGAAGTTGCAGCTCTATATCAAGGCCTGGGAAGTGTGGCTGCCTGCTGTGCTGGGGAAGGGCCACACAACTGGCCCACGGCTGCCCTGCCGTGTCTGCTGTGGATCCAGAATCCTGTGTCTACCTCTCTGGCCAGAAGGACAGTATATACAGAGATGCTAAGACCCTGAGAAAGTGAAGGGGCTACTTTGTGTGAAGGGGTGGGGTATGGAACATGACTCTCGTTGGCGAGTCAAGCTTCCTTCCTTCCTATACTTACAGTTGTGAGTGCAGACAGAGCTAGTAGTTCAAAAGAGCCCAGACTCT